TTTGGAAAAAAACACAATAACCCCAATTTTTCATGCTCTGTCCACACCTTTCATAAAGGATTGCTATAAAAGAAGCAATTATGACTGATTCCCAAGCTTTTAATGGTTCTGTTCATTTCCTGTATTGACTAATAAAATGTCAGACTGTTTCCTAAATAGTAGAACTTAAACCCTGGCAAAATAGTTAAATTCTAATCAACACATTTTTATCAAAAGAAAAAAAAAAGGAATTCCTATGAATTCCTAGGAAAAGCACTAGGAAAACTCATTGGAAAAGGAGCCAAACTTCTTGCAGTTTCAAAACATGAAAACATACCTTTTGGGGGGGGGTAGTTGAGAGATAAAATAATAAACATGTAACTACTTGTGTTATTTCCTAGCTCAAAGTCAGCCCCTTTAGTGCAGACACCCTCAAAGCAGAAGTCTGAGGATGTGGTTTTCATGGATAACAACCCAGACTCCCTGTCCTCCAGACCTACCAGCTGTATTTATATGTCCATGTTTATTCAGATTATAAATTTATAAAAGAAGAAGAGACAAGCCCTGAAGGACACAGCATTTTGGGAGGTGTTATTTTGTATGTGGTGCTGAATCTGGGTCAACACCACAACAGATCTATGTGCATATTCCAGGCAACACTTTTCCATGATCCTTCTCTGCCCCTAAGCCTGAATAATGTATGTGTGTGTGTTCATGTGGTGAAAATATGAAGCACTGAAAGCAGTGAATATTCATTGGAAGCAAGAGTTATAACACTTATGTTGTTAACAACAGGTTTAGGACTAGATTGATCAAATCTGTGCTCTGTGTGCTATTGTGGGTCAGCAGAGGTCAGAAAGGGAAAAAGCCCTTGATAAGATAAGGTTCTTATCTTCCTTCCCTATTTCATGCTGGATGGATAGTTTCAATAAAGAGAGAGCATGACCTTTGTCTTAGAGCACAGTTCCAGGAGAAATCTGAAGGAACAATTTCCCAGAATACAGGACTCTCTCTCAGTTTTAGTGGATGCTAAGAGTCAGGCAGATTTTTATCAGTCATTGCTGTAATGTAGTATTGTTTTGCCATAACAGGTGATAAACTATGAAGCATAAATGTCTTTCATCATGAAAGAGACCAACTTATCTATCTTGATTTGTGGCTTACCCTTCCAGCACAATATCTAAGGATTCACTAACACCAATTTCACAGGGAATTATCCCTCCCTCTGTTTATTTATATATGCTTTCTAGTCTTTTATTACATTTTAATCTAAGATCCACTTTGACTTAGTTTTTATGTATTGTATGAAAACAGGCAACTTCATTTTTTCACATGTGACCATCAGTTTGTCCCTATTTTCTTCTCCCAATTTAAAGAATTCTTTGGAATGTTCATCTATCCTTCTGCATATAATTACGAACCTCTATTTTGTCTTACACCCACCACAGTCAAAGTTTCATTCCTTGCATCAATACTAAACAACTTTCTTTCGCCCTGTTTCCTGTTTTCAAATGCACAATTCAACAACTTCATTTGCACTTTTTTTCTCTGTTAATCTCTCACAACATTTGACACACTTTATCCTGTCACCTGATTCCCTTTCTTCACTTCCATGAAGAGCCACATGCACGCCTGACATTTGGGAATATTAGTAACTGGCATCGTGGCATTCTGCTGCAGCCTCTGAGACAGTGACCCATGCATGTTGTTCTTTGATGTTGCTTAGAATGTGAGCTGGCATTTTCCCTTATAACGCTTAATATTGATTCTTTACTTTGTATTTTTGGCTTCTTGACTATGGCATGTCATAGAAAGTTTTTTTCTGGTCTTGTCTGTTTAGATCTCTGTTTTTCTAGGCTTGGAGAATTTTCTGCTATCTTTTAATTGAAAATTATCTATGCTTTTTATTTGAAGATATTGTCTATACTTTCAGATTTTAGTTTAATTACTTTTTCTGCTCCATGAATTCTTAAGTTGGTCTCCTAAATGTGTTCCTATGTAAAGGCCTTTTCATAGGGCTGGAGAAATGGCTCAGTGGTTAAGAGCACTGACTGCTCTTGCAGAGGACCTGGGTTTGATTCCCAGCACCCACATGGCAGCTACGAACCGTCCTTAACTCCAGTTCCAGGGGAATCCGAAGCCCTCTTCTAACCTCCGGGCCATTGCATGACACGGGTGCACTCACATACATGCAGGCAATACACTCATACAAATAAAATAAAAGAATTTTTAAAAAAGTCTTTTCATACATACACTTTCCTTTTTCTAGTTCTTTTTTAATTTCTATTTTTAATTTTGCATGTGTTTGTCCGTGCATGCACGCTATGAGTGTATGTATGTACTGGTGCCTACAGAGGTCAGAAGAATGCATTGGATTCCCTGGAGCTGCAGTTACAGGTGGCTGTGAGCCGCTCAAGGTGCTAGGAACCAAACCTGGGTCCTCTGCAAGAGCAGCATATGTACTATAGTTATAAACAGTAAAGAAAGTGTTATGGGTGAAGAGAAAATGTGATCAGCATATAGAACAGTTATAAAAGCCTTTGATGATGGGATACAAATTAAAGCATAACAGCCTAAGAAAGTAAAAAGTTGTAAATAGTAATAAAAATAAAATTAATAATATAAAATACACTGCATTCTGGACAGGATATAACTGTTGAACCCATGAACTTTTAGCAGTCAGGATTATCTACACAAGACCCAGGTCCTCAAGGTTTCTAAATGGATGGGGAAATGGCTCATAAGGTCTCACCCCTCCATGAGAGGGACGCATTTAACTAACTGTGACTCCCTCCACTTGGACTGTCTTTGTGTCAGTCTCCACAGATGTGGGAAATTCTGTTAGTTTCATTAATCCAAACAAGTTAAGTCAGTGTGTCCTTCCAGATGAGGATTTCTATGACTGAAGACCACTCTCAACAGAACTCCCTGATGTCAGGATCTGCACCTGAAAGTTACAACTTTGTGTCTGCTGCTTTGGGAGAACTCCATGTATGGAATTTTCTGTGACTGTGGCTCTTGGGGAGGGGGGGTGGGAGAGGTAGAAAGCCTGCCCACCTTTGTGCTCTCAGGATACTGTGACAGTTCCCAGAGCAGTTTCTGGGCTGTGGTATAGCTCTCCAGGCAGGCGAGGGGAGGGGCCTCTCTGGCCAATATCTCCCAATCTCACCTTCAGCTTCCCAGACCTCACTGTGCATCTCCTTCCAGCGCCTGCTCTGCTGCTGCAGGCTCTGTGCACGTGCCTTACCGGGTGGGAGAGGTAGAAAGCCTACCCACCTTTGTGCTCTCAGGATACTGTGACAGTTCCCAGCACAGTTTCTGGGCTGTGGTATAGCTCTCCAGGCAGGGGAGGGGAGGGGCTTCTCTGGCCAGTATCTCCCAATCTCACCTTCAGCTTCCCAGACCTCACTGTGCATCTCCTTCCAGCGCCTGCTCTGCTGCTGCAGGCTCTGTGCACGTGCCTTACCCAGCCACTGGTTGCATTAGGGCACCTGGATTTTCTCTCTCATGGCCCACCCATGTGAGCAATTCACTTGTGGCTACTGCTGATGGTAGCTGGCTGGAGTAACACAATATGCCTGGGCAGATTCCTGTTCTCTTTACCTCTTTCTCTTGTATGAGTACTGACTCCTGTCCACAGTCCTTTAGTAGCTTTGCTATCTGAAAACAGATTTCCCTGAATTCACATCCCCAAATTGCTCTATGTCAGGGTTGGCGATGAAAGAAGAAACTGCATTAAGCCTGGAAGATAGGTGTGGTACAGCATTTACTTTTCGTTTTTTGCTTTTGTTTATTTTTTTATTTATTTAATATTTTGAGACAGGGTCTCCCTGTAGCCATAGCTGGGCTGAGGCTTCCTATGGAGATCAGCTGGCTTCAATCACTCACAGATCTGAAGGTGTGTGCCACCAGGATGACTATCCTTTCCTTCTTAAATAGCTTTTCAGACTCAGACCCCAGGTACTGGGGCAGCTCCTGTGCTTTTACTTATCAGCCAGCTCAGTTTATCATTGACTCTGCACTCCTCCATTTCCTAAAACTTTTCTTTGTCTTGGGCCAAATATTTGAATTATATGTTGGCAAATGACACTGACTCTGAATTTTACCAACGAGTTTGGCTTGAGCGATGGGGCATGTTTTCCTTATAGGTTCAATTGCCCTCAGGGGTCTCATTCTGTCTTTGCAAGTCACTTTGCAAGTCACTTCATCGAAGTGCTGCCATCAGGCAAACTTCCAACCCCACTTGTTGGTCTACATGTGCTTCAATAATTTAGACTCAGCATCACATGCAAAGACAAAGGTTTTCAGAGACTCCCCCATCTGCCCCGGCAATTTCATGCTAATTCCTTATAATTACCCTCTTACTCTATTTCACTTCTGAAGGTTCTGATTCTCTGACTATAACTTTCAAAACGCCTGAGGGATAAAAGCTAAGGGAATAATTTTCTTTGCTATAACTGCCACTAGGTGTGTTCTGTTACCAAGAATCTAACATTTTAAACTATTATAAAGTTTTAAAAAATATTTTATATGTATGAGCATTTTGTCTATATGTATGTAAATGTACCTGTGTATAATACCTGTGGAGATCTGAAGAGGGCATTAGAGACCATGGAACTGGTGTCACAGAAGGTTGTTAGGCACCAGGTGAGTGCTGGGAATAGAACCCAGATCCTCTGTAAAAGTAGCTACTGCTCTTAGCAGCTGAGCCAACTCTATACCCCTATAGTGCAACTTTTTTAACTATAGAAAATATTACATGTGCTCTGTGCAACATATTTTTGATTAGGAACTTTCAAGATAGTGTATTAGAAGAAAAGTTGCTGACGATAGATAAGTATTTCCAACTTGTGTAGGAGATTTAATGTAGAATTAAATATCGGACTCAGACTACAGATTAGGCAACCACAGTTGTGACGTTTTGTCTGGGATGTGCAGGTGTGCATCTCAGCTGGGCTCCACCAGACTGTGTTTTTCTTCAGCTTGTACTATTATGTCAAATTCTGTGATTTGGTTCTCAGAGAACACAGCAATACTTCACTGAATCTTCCAGCTGCAAGGCTGAAATGATGAGGCTGATGGACTTGACTGATTTCTGGAAGGAGACAGAATACCCACTGCTCTTCTCATTCTGATGAAAAGAAGAAAACTAACGAACCAGGAAAATCATCTCTCTGCTGAGAAGCTGCTTGTACCAATAAAGATGGTGTAAGTTCTGTCCTGTCTCATATGAACAGTGCAGGGAAACCTCATTCCCCCCCGTCCACTTGTGACTGTTTGGGCCTGAGCCAGTTTCTGGGCCACAGTGAATCATGTCAAATAATCAGAAAATACAATCAATCCAGTGATTTTGTGAATAAAACATTGTAAGACTTAGAATTACTTAAGACCCCAAAAATAAGACAAACTGAAGACATACTCTGCTTGCTTTTCTCCCATCTCCACTCCTCCTCAGGTCCATGCGAAGCACTCTACACCTGGGTGCAATGCTTTGACCTTAATATCTTAACTCTATGTGAATCATCCATACCAGAGAAGGCCAAGGCCATGAGCACACACAGAGGGCTGGGGGGAGGCATGAGGTACATGTCCTGCACAAATCTGTCTGTTCTGCCTCAGCTCAGAGTTCAGTGTCTCTGAGTGGTGTCAGTTTGCAGATGTACTTCCCGGGTTCTTATGCTGTGCACAGGAAGTGAGGTTACACAAGATCATGGGCCACACATTCTGTGCACAGAGAGAAAAAGTGCAGCTTCCAACAAATTTTTTCTTGCTTAGCCATCTTTCTTGGTGATTAAAACATACAGAATGTAAAAGGGAGCAAGAGAAAATCCACTCCTTATGACAGGTGACATTCAGGGGAACTACTTATTGTGCTGCTCACACACGCTGATGTTATTTAGTGGAATAATTTAGGGGGCATGTTAACTCAAATTCATTAGGAGCCATGTATACGCTACAGAGTATTCACTGATTGTTAATATATATTTACTTTTTCTCCACCCATAATCTAATAAACTTTAGTAAAGAAAAATCCCTCCCAGATCTTTGTATTTCTCAGTGAAAGCGCTGGTATCTAAAACCACTGCAGTACTCCCTTCTTCCTTACTGACATCTAGAGTCTGTTTAAATCCTATGATTAACAATGCTATTTCCAGTCATGTGATTAAAAGCTGCCCCCTGGAATCTCAGAAGCTCTTCATTTATTTATGTTATAGTTTATGAAATTGTGTAAATACTTGTTGTGAAAACATGGTGATCTACATTTGGATTTCTGGCACCAACATCCAAACCAGGCATAGTGCGAAGCACACTGGGAAGAGGCGCATGCAATTCCAGCACTAGAGAGTCTAGTCGAATCAGGGAGCTCCATGTTCAAGAAAGACCCTTTCTTCAAAAAATAAAAAATTACAAAGTTATATACAAAGTTATTTAACAAAGATCTCTGGGTGAAACATATGCATTACATGACCTAGAATTGTCCTGATGTTATACGTTCTATAAGTTTGCTCTGAAATACATAGTTTCATTTGTGAAAGTCTCTGTATTTTTAAATAAAGTTACTTCATGCTAAGCTTTCCAGGTTTTTCTGTGACTCAAGGCTATTATTTCCTCCACCACAATATGAGATACATAGATACACCATAAGTACTTAGGGACATACAAATGCCACATAAATTTCTGGCTGAATTTTTGTGTGCTGTAACCACTGGGAGCATCCACAGGACCTGACCGGATTACCATGGACCTAAGAAAGAAGCAGTGGACTCAAGGCTTTTATGCACAAGGGTGCAATAGCACCTGCAGCTTTGATTTTATTCTCTTGGTGTGAGAACTGCAGTCAGATGTTTACAGAACATAGAATAATAATTAAATGGCTTCTCATACTCATAAGAACCATACCTAAATGTTTACAGAACAACAATAATATGACTAGAATATGCAGTAAAATAAAACGAGGATGATATCATCTCCATAATATGTCTTTCTGGAAGATGAGCATGCCTAATGAGAAACTAGGGGAGCACCAGCATTCTGGAGATATCTCCTCAGCAACTTGCATAAAGTTTCTCTCTCATGAGAAACAAGGCTCTCCAGACATATGTTCTCAAAGTTTGGCTTATTTCACCAAGCATATCTTTAGTCATATGAACACTATTTCACAGTCCCTACAGTGGACTTCTCTAGAACCTTTTAGATTGTAGCTCTAGGATACAAAGGGAGAGCCAAGAGAGGGTGTGGCCACTTTGCATAACAAAAGATTTGCTGAAAGCAGAGAAGCCAAAAAGACCAGGGAGTCCCTGGTGGATTCAGTTTCCACTTCAGAGCTTGAGAGAGAGAAAAAAAAGCAGGACATTTTAACTTGTGTAAGGTTAGGGGACCAGGGGTCTAAGGACTCAGGAAAAAAGACAGATAGTAGTAAAAAAAGAGGAATGACCTACAAATAAAAGTAGCTAAAATTACTCCTCAGATTCAAACTTTGATAGAAAAAGTGGAAAAAGCTAACAGTACTGTAGCTAGGAAATACTCCACACTGGAGCTGTTAAAAATAGGAAAGACTTATAAAAAGTGATCAGAGAGCCCCCCCACCATGTGGCTAGTGGGGGTATGGGACATGGGATCAAATAACATCAATCTAAGTCCTTCAGAAGCTTCACAGCTGAGTTATATAACCACCCATCCATCCTTGCAACATAAACTGTTCAACCTAGGCCAATGGAGGGGAGTGCAGTTCTTAACAGGGTGGCTGGTACAAGGTATTAAAGACACATGGTCATCACCAAAGGAAACTCCCATGATTAACAGGGGCTGGAGAAGTATAAAAGAGGGACAGACATTACTGAGCAAACCAGGTATGTGAAAAGCAATATATGATGCCCAGTTCACTGGGCCAGATAAAACTGTTTGCCAGAGATATGAAGAAAAGCTTAATTCAACTGGGGCCTCGAGAATGGTATAGAGTTTTAATGGTTTTGCTAAGTCCTTTAATGGGACAAGATCTTTGTATTGTGAAAGAGGCTTTAGCAAATCTAAGTGACTCAAACAAGTGTGTAAAACATGTCTGTAGAAGAACAGAACAACCTACAAGAGATATAAAAAAGATCAGACAGAAGAAATGGTTTTGGGGGTTACTCGAAGACAAATGTGGCAAGACTTATGTTGAGCCCAAATTCCCAAAGAAAACAATTAATGGAAAACCAAATTTGGTACTAAGGAGTTTCTGGAAGGCTTTAAAACTGGAAGAACAGTTTACAAAAGGCATTCAAAGGATAAAAACTGTTCCTGGGTGGTTAAGGATTCCCAAAGATTAAATAAATTGCATTTCTCTCCTTATAGAGGCTATGCTGGGGTGGAGTCAGTTTTCCCACCAAGGCCTCCCCCAGCAGACAGTTATGGTCAATGGAGAGATGACAGATATGGCTACAGCCCAAAGGCTGACCCAGGGCCTGCCTGACTCAGGGAACCAACAGGTGCAGTGGGGACAGGATAGACCCCCTGCTTCCTTAGACCAGGGCAGGGTCAGGAAACTGAAACCAGCACCTGTAAGTGTATCAAGGTAAAATACAAAGACTCCATGTAAAATCCCCAGAATGCAGGATGACTCTGAAGGGATAACTAAAGACAGTAAAGAGCTAACCAAATTAATGCCTCTTACCCATGTTATGGTACCTAACAAAGATCTATGGAGAAAGCAATTAATATGAATAGTTAAAACCTTTCCATGCTGTGTTAGACATTGTCTATGATTGATTTAATATATGATGTTAACCTTTGAATGTTTTACAGATATGAAACCCATTTGAAAGATATCTGAAGAAGCAAAGGCCAACTACAGCTTTAAGACTCTTGGAAGTTTTATGGTTGGGTAAGATAAAAACAAAGGCTCCAAAAACTATACAACTGTTAAGAAAAAGTACAGTACGAAGGGTGGGTTGCCCCTCTATGAGCTGTTGATCAGAGAGAGATCCTAGAGGTCCTCAAATTTACCAAAGCCATCGCCACTAATGTCAGTTGTATGCTAGAAAGGTTAGTAAGGCCATGTTGCTGAAGACACTACATGATGTGAGCATGGGAGAAGAATAGAGCTGAGACTAAGCCAAAAACTCCATGCCACTGGATGGATGACTTTCATAGTGCCAGAAGGTGTTATGAAAATGGCTGGGGGAGAAAGGATCCCCTATGATTATATTCAACAATGGGCCACTGTACCGCACACTATGGACATACCAAGCAATGCCTGCTAGTGCAATAATAGCTCGACTGACATACATACAACTGACAAATTTCTAATTGGATAAGGGCCACTCCTAGCAGTGGAACACACATCTCTTGCTATAGACCAGGCCAACCCCCTGTGTCAGGGATGGCTACAGGCCTCAGTAGGGAAGCTATTGCAAGTAGACTGTTTAATGAATATAGTACACCTACTGGCATATCTTCTACACTTTTGTATTTACATTCATGTTTGTCTAGATATGTCTACTTCTTTCCATCTGTCTTCATAGTAAGTGAAACACCACTAAGGTACACCAGTGGCCACATCTTGAAGATGAATTTTGAGGAGACCCAAGAGATCACTATCTCACCATGATACAAGAGAGATCTCCTTGCATCTGCCACCCCCTCCAAGGCCCAGGGAAATTCACAGAAGAAATGGTGGAAAGTTTGTAAGAGCTGGAGGAAAGGGGTGGAGTGTATCCTGGAAGCCACTCATTCCTCTGAAAAGGGTGAGTGATGGGTGAGCACAGGGAACCCTGGGAAAGAGGGGTGGAGCCAGCTAAGCTACAACAGAGAGTTAGCCAAGCTGCTGCTAGATGGCGAGTGGCCAGAAAGAGAGTTAGTGGCAGTCATTTTGGGAACTCCGGGAGCAAGTTGTGTGGCCCAAGAACGGTGAACAGAAAGGGCAGTGAGAACAGCCAGCACATGCCCTCCCGGTCCTGCAGGCTCTGCAAGGTGAGATGAGGCAGACTGTGTGGTGTGATGGCATGTGGACATGGGGTGTGAAAGAGAGCAGGAACAGAGGGCTGCTGTGTGGCGTGGTGCAGCACAGGGTTTATGAGAAGCTGCTTTGTGTAAGTCACCCCCCACCCCAAAATGTCATATAAAATGGTACAAACTAAAGACAAACTAAAAATGTCTTATGTTAGTCTGTGAGCCCTGGGACCTCAGAGGACATGCGGAGCCTCCAAAGAAGAGAAATGGAAGAAAATTTAGTGCAGACTATCTAATTTTGTTTACCCCATTTTTCCATTCTGGACATTAATTTCAGCTTTCCTTAGTTTCTTTAAAACTTTTCTGATAAAAATGGTTGATGATCTGAAAGATGCCATAATCAGATCAACAAAATCCATGACCTGGAAAGTTAACAACAAAGAGGAGTCAGCAAAACACATGACAACATCAACAACGTGGATGAAAAATCAACATGGAACAAAAATTCAGCAAAGAAATTGAGATTTTTAACAACAAAATAAAATTTTGGAAAGAAAAAAATTGAATTAAAAGCACACAGTGGAAAACATTATCAGCAGATTCAACCAAACAGTCGAATATCAGAGACAGAAGAGAAAGGTGGTGACTAGGACCAAGCATCAATAAGGTAAAAAGAACAAAATGACCATGACCACAATGAAGTCTGGGAATTAATCTAGAGACTAATCCCAACAATCCACAGGATAAAAAAAAAAATGTAGGAGCTGAGGCAGACTCTAATGACACAGAAACCCTATTCAATGACATTATAGCAGACCTTTCCCCAAAACTAAAGAAACAAACACTCAAACACAAGAGGCACTTAGAACCCTCAATCAGAATGACTGGATAAGAATCTCTCCATGATATTATTGTCAAGATGTCAAAATATAAAGCAAAGAAGCAACAGTAAACACTGTGAGGCTGAAACATGAATTCATGTTCAAAGGCAGAAATAACAAAACAACACGAGATCTCCCCTCACACCCTTCAAAGCTGGAACAAGCCTCAAGCCACCGAGAAGTGAAGATGAAGACCAGGACCTGAACATCACCTGAGGAGAAAACTGTACAAAAGCTCTGTGGTGCCTCCCTGAGGTCTTGTGATGGGGAAGGGCCACACCCACCCAGCTGAAGTTTGTGTTCAGACTGCAGGTGTCTGGGGAGCACTGTGTGTCCACCGCACAGAAGTAAGTGCCTGAGTCTGTGGTCTGGGAGGAGGAGATGTGCAGGGAGCTGCGGCGTTCCTTAGCGTCTGTCGTGGACTTTAGTCTTCCACTCTGCTTTGTTCCCGAGGGATTGGAAAACAGGGTGATGAGGCGGCCCTGGGGATTCTGGTGAAACCACTGTAGGTTGGTAGGAGTGGAGGAAAAGTTGCACTGCAGGTCACAATTCTCTCCCTCCTGGAGAGTCAAGGCTCCGGGACTCTGCACCACTTGTTGCCCTTTCAGCCCTGATTAGAAACAGAAAATCACAGATGATGGTCCCTGCAGGGCCCAAAGAGTGATGAACACCCTCCCATCCCTATATACTTTGAGAAGACTGAAAATCCTGCAGGACTTTGAGCTGCTTTCCCCCCCACCGTCCCCTCCATGTGCTGCAGCTGCACAGTCCTCAAAGATGCCCTGAATGTGGGGCAGCCTGACTCACAGCAAACATGGGTGCACAGAAGCCCCAGCAGGGAGCCCAGCAGCCTCTTCATGATGTGTGTCTGACTGTGCAAGATGGAAGTGTGCTGGGCTGTGGTGTCAGGATGGCTCTGGAACTGTCCCTGCTTCTGCAGCCAGTCAGCTCCACCCACAAACCCTACCAAACCAGACACTGCTGAACTCCCACAGCTTCCTGTGCCTGAAGCTCCTCCCCAGCCCAGGCCTGCATGAGAGCCTAAGAGCACAGTGGAGGGACAGGGACATTTTCCAACAACCCTGTACTCAGAAGGATTTGAGGTACCTGGGAGAAGGAAGGAGACCTGCTCCTCCTGAAGATAACATGCTTCAGTTGGACCAACAAGACCCTCAAGTATTATCAGAGAAAAAGTAACTAAATGTTTAACCCCCAAAATAGCTGCATGTTCTAACTAGAGAATCTTCGCTCATCTGTGAATTAATTTAACTGAAAAGCTCTCCAGTAGACAAGCAACAGGAACATAACTGTTCTACAGCACAGATTTAATGAAGTCCTTTTCTTAGAGTACATGAAATAGGTGTACTGGGAACTCGGAAAAATCAAGGAATATGGTAAATATTATAGAAAATGATCTTATGAGGAGATGGAGTAGGGAAAGTCTAATCAAGAAGTCCTTTAAGTGAGTGAGAAGCAAGAAGCTCTGGTGTGGTGTTACGCAGTGCGGTGACCACAGGCATCACTAATATATGTACAGTCATAAAAGAGAGAAGAGAATTTAAAACCTTAAAAGGCATTTTAAAGTTAGAAAACTATTTTATTTTTTATTTTATGTATATGAGTGTATTGCTTTCAGCTGGCCTCATCCTCCTGATCAGTATCCACTGAGAAGGAGTTTACCTTCTTCCAACACTCAATCTGAAAGCCTTTAATATCCAAGACAAGGGCGCAGTGTTGTGCAATTCCCATGGAAGTCAGAAGAGGGCTTCAGATTCCTTGACACTGGAGTTATGGATGGCTGTTAGCCTGCCATGTGGATATTGGAAATTGAACCCAGGGCCTCTGCAAGGCAGTCAGTTGTCTCAATCGTGAGCCATCTCGCCAGCCCTGCATCTCAAAATTTTACCATAATGATTATTTCTTGATAAATGAGATTAATAATGTAAAATAATTTCTTGATTTGCTCTCACATAGTTCATAGTCAATTTTATGCCATTTCATTCTATCACTGTCTCTAAAGACATTGGAGCACATAACTTCATCTAGTTTGTAGAGGCCCACAGCTTCATTTTTGACTACTGTTCTGAATTTCATATAAAAATAATGTCCTTCAGGATTCAGATACTTCCAAAACTGACAACATGCTGCCACTAAGGTCTGCCTTTATTGGAGCTAAGCACTTTTCAGGACTTTACTTTCTCTGTCCTGTTTGCCTTTACAGAACATCCCAAGTCCTTGAAAGTAACAGAGACTGGGATTCTGGTCCCTTAATCTGCACATCTCAGGTGGTTGTATTCAGCTCTGCACTGTGTGACTCGGCACAGGAGCACTTGGTTGCCTCATTCCCATGATCAGTATCCCCAGAGAAGGAGTTTTCCTTCTTCCAACACTCAATCTGAAAGCCTTTAATGTCCAAGACAGGCTGGTTTCCTGATGTGTGCTTCAGAAGGCTTTGGAGATCTGGACTAGAGTGTTGCACATACAGGGAAAGGCACCATGGGACAGAGATGAGTTGCTGCCAACTAAAGAGCAGCTGCTGTGGACACTAGTGAAGCCATTAGGGTGGGTCACTGCTCAGGCTGTCCATCATCGTGCAATGCCAATGCTGTGTGGTTAAACTCAGTCAGCATGAGATTCTCTATTCAGTATAAACCACACACTGTCCTATGGGTGGTCTTAGGTCTAATAGAGAATGGTATTCCCTGAGCACTGGGGCACTCTAAGCCTCAGGGTGCACAGATCAGAGTGAGGAAGGAAGTAGGACACTGCTACCTGGGAGATTTCTAGCAAACAAATCAAACCTAAAGTTTGACAGAGGTAGTCTGAGGTTGTGGGGATTTCAATACTTTCTTCATTGGCACATGAGGGGACCATTAGGAAACTGGTCTTGGGAATCAGTGCCTCTGCTGTCTAAGATTCTATGTCACTGTTCAAATTATGTTTCTTCAGAACTCCTCTGAAGCAACAGAGGTTTTGTGAGCTTGTTCTACTAGGTTCTACTTAATCTACAGAAACACCATTTCCTCTTTAGACAGCAGTGTCCCCTAGGGACCAAATGGAGCAATAAATCCACAACTTTTGTGAACTTCCCACTCTTTTTCCTTCCAAAGTTGGATGTCAAAACTTTATGATCAAGTACAGAGGAAGATCCGTGCACTGTAAGCTGTGAAATTTGTGGTTTTTTAAAAAATGAAGTTATGAAATGAATTATCAGAATGGGAGCAAAAGGTTTTTTTTATTAGAGCGAGAAAACTATGGCATCTTCACACATTTTAAAAGAAATTCTAGAAACATTATAGTATTCAGAAAATTGCATAATATGTTATTACTAAAGCTCTATATTACATTATCAAAAAGGGCCGTGAATAAAAATTTGATTGGTGCTACTGGTAATAAAGACTGCATTTACTTTTTTTCTCTCCACAGGAAACATCACACGTTTTGTCATTTAAGGAGCAAATTAAGAACTATGGTGCCAACGAAAGAATTCTAAAAGTACATTAAGGAAGTGAGTTTATACCATATCGCCCCATCATGATAATCTCTATTTTGATGAACTCAAAGTCAGATTTAGTACAAACAATCAGATTTGACCTTAGTTACTTATGCAATATCTCTTCATCTTAGTCATGACTTGTAAACTAATCACAGGAGTGACACCCATCATATACTGGGTCCTGCCAATAAGAGGAGACTATGCCATGCACATGCACCAGGGGGCAGAAATCTTTGCCCATCACTTCAATTCTTCTACCACAGTTGTGGTGGTCTGAATGAAAATGCCCCCCACAGGCTCCAAGTGTTTGGATATTTTGTCCCCAGATAATGGCACTGTTTTGGGAGGTTTTAGAAGGTGTGGCTATCCTGGAGGAAGCATGTCACTGGCAGTAGGTTTAGAGAGTTCTGCAGCCTTGCCAGATCTCCAGTTGCTCTCTTGCTTCCTGTGCCTGCATGATTGTGTGAAAGCTTAGCTTCATGCTGCTCCTGCTCCAGACACCTCCAGCCACCATGCCTCCCTTCCATGACAGACTGTAATTCCCCTGGAACCATAAGCTCAAATAAATTCTTCCTTCTATAAATTGCTTGGGTCACTGTTTCTATCACAGCAGCAGAAAAGTGACTAATACAGTAATTGGTACCAGAGAGTGGGCTGTTGGCTGTGAAGAACCTGACCATGTGGGGTTTTGAAGAAATGTGGAAGACTTTGGAAGGTTGGGCTAGAAAAGTGGTTGATTGCTATAAGATGAGCTTAATAGGCCATTCTAGTAGGGGCCTGGAAGAAAGTAGTGCTGAGAACAATGTAGTTCCAGAGGAAAATAAGGACTTAAGCAGAAATTAGGATATTTTGGCAAAGAGTCTGGCTGGAGTCTGCCCACAGCCAAAAAGCTTTCCTGAGGCTAAGTTGAAAAGCTATGGACTAATTTCTCTGGCAGAAGAAATTTCAAGACAGCCTAATGTAGAAATAGCAGCATAGCTGTTAATGGTGAATATTATGCACATTTACTGAGAAAAAGAGCAAATGGGGCAGAAAGAAATGCAGAATGCACAGGACGATTGAAAAAGGAAGACTAAGGTTGGAGCCCTGGCATGTGATCAAGAGGATCCCATTGATAAGGAGATTAAAGTGATTAGGGGGCCCAGAGATTCAAACTTAAACAATGCAAAGAGTGCCTCCAGGGCAAGACCACACCCAGTTAAGCTTCCAATTTGGGAAAGGAAAACTGCAGGGGCCACTGAAGAGAAGAGTTTCTAAAATAGATAAAGCAGGCTGGAGTCCACCACAAACTTGCAGTCAAACTTGTCAGTGCCCTTCACCCAGTGCTGGCTTTAGAGGCATGAAAGATGGAAGAGTGAAGGGGTCATTAGTTCTTCCTCCACAGTTTCAGAGAGCCTTGAAGGCCAGGCAGCATGAAGCAGGGGTCCCCTGAATACAGAAGGCCCTGATAGGCCATTGTGCAAAGCTATGAAGGTGAGGCCTGGTTGGCAATGGAGACCCTAAGAAGTTCATGATGCCAGAGCTGTGAGGCATCTGCCAAGAAGACCTGCACACAGGGAGTGGTACCAGCACAAGAGAGATGTGTGTTGCACACAGCAAAGCTAGAGAGGCTGAGCCAACTAAGCCCTTTGGAAGTAAAGTTCCAGAAGTTGGACTTGGAGCTACTGGATTTGGTGTTTGCCCTGCTGGTTTTCAATCTTGTTTTTGTCCAGTATTTCATGGCAAATCTTTATCTAATCTCATCTAAAGAACTTTAGATTATTTATCAGCTACATATCCCCAAAAGAGCATCTTTTGATAACATTCCATGGCAATAATCAAATTATTGATTTCTTTTACATGAGGAAATCTACCTTTGGAGACATTTGGTTGACTTTTGCATTGTCTTAAAACCAGGGATTAAATCACAAGTCTGTCAAAGTGCCAACCTCAGCCTCATCATCTTCATTTTAAACAAGCTGCTTAAAGATAACTGAAGCCCTGCTTCCCTGGGCCTGCATAACCCAGGGCTGACCTTTCCTCTTCCTGATCCTTTGCACCCAGATGGACCCAGCTTCTCAGTGCAGTTGCCAGGAGTCCTTTGGGCCACTTCCTGCCCCCATTTTCCTTTGCATCTCTGGGTGACACAGCCACCAGCTGCCCTAGACCAGCATCTTTCCTGGGCCCGACTCTCAGACCACCAGTCCAACCCTCAAATTCCTGAGGCCAAAATCTTTCCTGGAGGGAACCAGAACATAGGGGAAAGCCTGAGAGCATCTGGTCCTCATCTGACTTGGGCCTCTGTGAGAAGTCCTGAAGACAAAAGCAATCAGGCCACTCCAATCTAAAATCAAAAGAGAGAACGGGAAGCTTAGAGGAACCAGGATTTCATGACCAAAAAGTAAACCACAAAGACACATAAAGTTTACAAAAAGAAGCAGACCTAAACTTGAAGGCTAGAGTCTTACACAAGAATCAGAAACTACAAAAGAAATTCACATGTCAAAATCAC